GGGCTAATTGCCATTAGTATTCCAAACTCAAGGGACGCCTCTGTGTTATTCAGAATTCTATTACGACTGTTGATGCCAACAAATTGGAACGCGTCCAGCAGAAGTTTGCAGACCTTTGCTATATTTTCCTTCACCATGCCCAGAACATTTATTTTAACGCTTTAAAGTAAACTCCATACCATAGTAAGTGGAGATATCACCTTGATGTATTGTTCCTTATCCAAGTTTACCTTCATTTTAAGGACTGTTCTTCCATTTTGGAAGTTGTTGGTCTTCGAGACCTTAATCGGATTATCAGTGATTTTTTATGTCCAATTTTAGTCCCTCAATTTGAAATTGTCCTTCATCACTGACGTTGTCTGTGGGGCTTTGCTATATTTAATACAAAAATTATTTGTCTTCGTCACAGTTATTAATTATGGTACTTCTATTTATTAGATAAAAATTCAGTTTAATGTATATTTATATGCACACCTTCCTCCTTAACGCCTATTCACAGCATTTACTTGTGTGATTCAAACTATTGTTAACATTCATATTATATATATTCCTGATTGAGAATCCTGTTTTTTTCTCTTTTACGTCTATTCTTCCCTTTTTATCTTAGGTCTATCTGAATAGAATTTAATTAATCACTTGTGCAGAGATATTGATATATTTTAGTGAGAAGTTGGTTTCGTTACAGTATGCATTCAAGTAGTTTCTTCTGCTACTCATTAGCCCCTTTGTATATGTTAATCTTCGTTATGTAACTTCGAGGTTGTTGTTGTTGTTCTTGTTGTTGTATTGTATCTATTATTTTGTTCTTGTGCTGCATCTGTCATTGGCTGTCTGGCTGTTGATGTAGGACACTATTGTTAAAGAATTATATTGTGTATGATTTGAGGTTTTCACAGCGGTGAGTATGAAGATTTCTGTCTTCTGGGTTGTTGCGCTGTGTAGTCTGGTCGATCTCTCCTGAAGGAAGAACGTATTTTCAGAACAAAGCGGCGAGGAAGAGTAATGGAAAGGAAAGTAATTGAGAAAATTACACGCTTGAGAATTTCATTATTCATATCCTGAGTCTAGTGTGGTTAGGTTGACTAAATAAGGAATGGTCGGGACAAGTAGCATGAATTGTATTATTCAGAAATACATACAGAATTTTATATGGGAAACCTGAAATGGCGAAACAAGGGAGAATTGCTTTTAGGTTGGAGAGTAAATTGAAATAAGAGAACTATAATGGAATTGATTAAGCTGACTTAGGACAGGTCCAGTGACGGTCATCCTTCAACAGCGGTTGTAGTAAAGCCACTTACTCGGATCCCATAAAAAGCGATGGATTTCTTGACCAGCTGAGTGACTATCAACTTTGTTAGTTAAGTGCGTGTGTGATTGTGTATGTCGTTACAATGGCGGACCGCATTAAGGAAAGTAAATTCTGCATAAAAAGAAGAAGTCTACAACAAATGCATTAAATGCTTGTATGATTTAGCTTTAAATGTGCAAACATGATAACGAGTATGAAGATTTCTGTCTTCTGGGTTGTTGCGCTGTGTGCGATGAACCGCCCTGATGACAGAGGCAGCATAATCTCAGAAACGCTGGTAAACATCTACCAAACTACACAGCGCAACAACCCAGAAGACAGAAACCTTCAAGAATTATACTGAATTCAATTGAAAATGCCTATTTTAAATTAACATTTCCGAATAAATATCAGGCTTATTTGTAGCCATGTTGTCCTGTATTACAGTGACGAGACATAAATATACAAACTAAATTATTTTTCTCTGCCTTTTCTTCTGGACCATATTTTTTGTATCGTGTAACAAAGTACCTGTACTTTTCTCCATTATATTTATCTTTCCGCCAAGTAGATCAACGTCATTACTATGGACCAGAAGCTGGTGGATTTCTTTCAGTTCTAGCCTTTCATGGTTTTCTTGGACTTTCCTGCGTACTGCAAAGCAGAGTTGAAAAGCAATAGTGATACAGCTTTTCCTGTTTTGGTGTAATAAATTAAATATGGACGCCTAGAAATTAAGCAATGAGCAAAATAGTCACCGATGATATATTTCAAAGAATGGTTTGCCCAAAGAATCCTATTTGTGCTCGTATTGTTAATACTGAGTGTTTGGTAACAAACTCCTCTGCTTTTAAGCTGCTAATTATCTTAAATTAAAACAGTTATTATAATCGTTCCTTCATTCATCCTGAATTTAATCATTGCCACTGCTGGGAAGAACGTGGTCGCAGTATGACAGATGAATACAGTCTAGGCCGAAATAACAGTTCAGTGTCGATCGATTTTGAAACAAAATTGTTGCGTCGTATTTGCTGCAAGACACCACGAACAATGAGAGATACTTGGAGATAATGAGATTTGCGATTCTCACGGTGGTAAGGATCACAATATTGTTGTCCTGGGTTACAACATGTGTAAACTCGTAGGTGCAAAACCACATCTTCGGATAAAAGAAACAAACATACGTCTCCATCTTCAGGCCTGAAGATGGAGACATTACGTTTCTCCTAAGTGTTGATATCCGATCAGCCTTGGAGATGGCGAAATATGTTTCTCCGAAACGTTTGTGTCTACCCACGAACCTGCACGGCGTCAAAATCCACAATATCGTGATACTTACAGATGCTCCAAAATTTGATGTGACTTGCATTGTATATGAAAATAGGAAAATTCTGAAGAACGGAATTTTATGAACGAAAGGGCTGCACAACTTTTTGTATTGACTGTGTGTGCGTGGCTTAATTACGAGTTCCGTTGACGGTGTATAGGTCATCGAGGGCCAACATAATGACCTGCTCGAAGATCATACTTAATTCCGTGTGACTTCTTTTTTATGGGACTGGGACAAAATAAAGTCTACATATCAAAACCAAGTATCATGAACAACCTGTATACAGAAATTTTTATAGGTTTGATGATGTACCGAATGCCTTTACTAGAAATTCACTTGAAAATGTAACTGTTTGTTTACAAAAAATTGTTAAGCCTTTGTTGAATTTTAAAATTGAAAGCTAATAAGTAATCTTCACTTCAATTAAGGAAATGTTTTGGTATTTCTTTTAAAAACTGGGGATGACTTTGCGAGTGCTGTACGCAAACACACACAACATAACTAGACCAACGACCTTCTTCGCTGATGACGATTCGGTTAATTAGTCAGTGTTTTGTTTCCATATGTTACGTGACTGTAGCCTTGAATGTATTTTAAATTTGCAAAAGCAGAGGGTAAAAAGTGTTGTATATGTCACGTACGAATAAGCGTGGAATGCCAATCAATATACTGAACAGTTTAATTGTTAGTTAATTGTGTAAAGTGACGTTACTGAATTCGCAGCTGATTTAGTTTGAATTCTGAAAGCGAAGGTTTCGAAACCCTAAACCGGCCAATCTGAATGACTATATTATGCCTTTTCTTGTTCCTTAAACGACGTCTGCATATCTAATTATCATCATCATTCTTTATCCACTGCTTCGTTGTTTACAGAATTCAAAATGCACGTATAAATTAAATTCCGAATTTATAACTTGTGTTGGGCAAGGCCGTGGTCTAGGCAACACGGAGTTTTCCTCCGGGGGCTTCCCCGGTTTCTCCGTGGCATTCCAACAATTACTCCATTCACACACAGAAGAAGGCAATGGCAAACCACTTCTGGATCATCTGCCAAGAACGTATATGAACAGGTCCCAGTCCGAGAAAAGGATGGAAGGATCCTGTTCATATGGACCTGTCGTCAGACAGAACACTACAAATAAATAAATATAAAAGTAAGACCTTAAAATCATAACGAAAATTCTAGTGATGTTTACCATGTTTGTTGAACAGTAAGTTAACTAATTCGATGTTCAGCTGCGACGTTCTACAGCCGTAAAATCTGCTGCCATAAGCAGATTTCTCGTAACTGTCAACGTATGCCAGTGGATTAATGACAGAAAAAGTTCCAACAAAATTCTCCCTGTTGCCAAGTTACTGTATTAAAATCATTTAACTTTAAAGGCGCTAGAAACAAGTTGTATAGCATACGCCTATACGTAAAAAGTGTCATTTGAATTTGAATTACGGTCACACATGTTCTGTTTCTTTGTCATTGATAACTGAGGTTGACGTTGGTGTTAAAAATATGAGAAGATATGAATTATCGGGTATTGATTAGTTTACCGCCACTATGGTCTAGCGGTCCTGGGTTCCCGGGTTCGATTCCCGGTGGTGCCCCAGATTTATAACTTGTGTCGGGCAAGGCCGTGGTCCAGGTATCATGGAGTTTTCCTCCGGGGCTTCCCCGGTTTCTCTGTGGCATCCCAACAATTACTCCACTTTCATCATCACTTGACATTAAGCACACAGAAGAAGGCAATGGCAAACCACTTCTGGATCATCTGCCAAGAACGTATATGAACAGGTCCCAGTCCGAGGATTAGTTTACGGCAAAATTCATCCAAGTAGGGGGTTAATTTGGGAATGCTGGGTCGCAATGCATTATGAAATAGTATGTAGAAACCAATGTTTTTTGAGGAATTAGTTTCTACCTAAACGTCTACGCGTCATTACAATCAAGAAGATCAACATTGACATATCCACCGCCATAACGATATCAGATTACATGCAGACGGTATTTCACTGCGTTCTAAGATCCGCATATTCTGTTTGGAATAAGGAAGAAATGGTGGAGCAGATATTAAAGGATTATGTTATTATATATGTTCATATGATGGGTAGTAAAAATTATTGTAATAATTATTGGGTAGTCTCACAAGTATCCCCCCTTCGCAACAATAATCACTGATATCAAAAGTAGTCAAATATTGTACAATATTCTTAATGACATCTGAAGTTCTTACGGAAGTAAGTATGAAGATGTTGCAACATGTAATCCGGTAGATAATTACTGAATCTCTGTCTCCGTCATTAGGGTGATGAAGGCAGTAAGCTGCTCTTGAAACGTCGATCAGTATCTATCAGACCACATGGTGCACTTCTCAGAAGACCGCCGTCTCAAGGAGATTTTTTTTATCATAATTGATTTTTAAGTTTGTTTTAGAATAAGTCTCAGATCTGAGAAAATGAACGGGAAGAATGAGTGAAACACATCAACTTTTGATCTGTGCTGATGATGTTAATATTTTTGGTGAAAATTTAAATATCATGAAGGAAAACAGATGCTCTTGTTAGATGCTAATGAAGAAGTTTATCTGGAAACAAAGAAAGAAAACGAAGTGCAGTGCATATTTATGTTTCATCATCAGACTACAGGACAAAACCTTGAACCTTAGGTAATAAATTCTTTAAAATATGGAAAAATTAGAACATTTGGGAGCAATGGTAACAAATCTAAATCGAATTCGTGAAGGATATAAGAGCTGACTAAACTCAGCGAATGTCTGCTACCATTCAGAAACGCTGTCTTGCCGTCTGCTATCTAACAAAATTCGATAATTGTACTCTTTGGAGAATAGTGACATTGCAAAGGTGTTCTTTATATCGCAACACATTTTTGGGCTACGAAACGGCATTGTTGCTTTATAGGTCATTCTTGTATTGTGGTCCCAGCCTATATTTGCGCAACAGTGATTTCCAACAATGGCCTCGTGTCGTTCTTGTTAAGATGTTAAAAGTGTAACACAGATTAGGCTCCAAAAACCCAGCAACAGCTAATTCTGAAATAAAACTTAGTTCCGCTTTATTATCATTGTTGACTAAAGTAGGTAATATTACAGGTTCAAAACATAATAGTCAGACAATAAATGTAACGATGCGCTCGAGACAACTTATGAATTCCAGTCTTTGTCTTTGCATCTCTACCACCCACGCCCCACATTCGAGAGCTTATCGTTTCCATGACGACATTGGCTTCGAGGGTTTTACATCCCAAGTTCCCTTTGCACTTAGTTTCCAATCTTTTAGAGTTCTTTCTTTTCTGTAGCCACAGACACATAGTGTATCTTCGCTGCTATGGCTACCACCTGTATCCCGAACAAGGCGGTAGCATTCCTTACTTTATTTTGATACACGACACGCCAAGTCTGCCCCGTCCCATATCTTTAATTTTGAGGCCTTCGGCCAGCCAGAACTATTTACGTTCAATAATGGATACCAGATTCTGAACTGCAGATAATACCGATTCTCAGTCTATATTATTTTGTTTGTTGTAACAGTTATAATTAAAGTCTTTCGTGCATATTACATTAACTTCTTTTATTCCAACACTATATGGTTTTAGCTACTGAAAAAGCGTTGTTAAATAAACTATAAATAAATAAATAAATTTGTTTCCTCCCCATGGATGACAAATTAGTTAGTCAGGTTACATTAATTTGATTCATAAACTGGGCTATATCGTTACAGTTGTTAATACTTAAGTGCTCTGCAATTCTCATTTACAAGTGGTACATTCTATTGCCACATTAATTAAATTCGCTGCATTTTAAAGAACCTCAAGGTTCAGTACCGTATTCATATAAAACTCATAATTAAACCATATCCCGAGCTGTTTGAAGTTCACGTATTCACACAGTATTTTTAACGCATATTTCGATAATATATCTGGCGTGTTCCTAGATCTAACAGGTTATTTCTTTCCTTCAGATTATCCGACCAAAGTCCTACCTTTCTTACATGTCTGCTATGTATCGTATGACCGGTTTGTTTTATTTCTTTGTCAAATGACTCTAATTATATTAGGCGAAGGATACAAATTGCGGAGGTCCTCATTATACACATAAGGTTAATCTATAATCCTATTACTTCTTCCTCTTAGGTTCAAATGTTCTACCCTCTTCGTTCTCAGACATGCTCAGTATAGACCTTCTGTCTCCCTTCCTTACCGTGAGAGATCGATTTTCATTTGCACACAAATAGCAGACACAAGACTGGTTTTGTATATTTGTGTAGAAGACAGGCTATTCTGCTCTGAAGGATGGTAGTAATTTCCCGAATTTAATGTTTAATATAATTTTATTTTATGCTGTCATTAATTATCAAGAAGGACACTGATGTACTCGGTAATTTTATTTTAGCAGTTAATTTAGTGTGGAAATAGGGTTATTTGGATTTTACTTTCAGGGCTTCAGCCGATCCTGAATTGACAGCAACACTAAGCAAATGTTCTTGAAAAACCTTATCAAGATATTTTCTGTAGACTTTCAAATAAAATAAGTTTGACCCATGTAGATTTTGCATTGTTATATTGCATCTTCATGTTCGTAATCTCTTATGTTATAATGTTTTCGGGAGAAACGCTGTTGAAATATCAGTCTTTCCCTTTCTGCATCAACTTTCCTCAAGCACCAATTAAGAAATAACTTACAGCTTTAATAACTTATTTCCATTAAAATTGACTTGTTTGTTCTTCCTTTGTGTGTTACTTTCAAATAGGCATTATAGTTACAGTTCCTTTGGCTTTTCTAAACTTGTCGGAAGCTATGACGTAAATTAGTTTCTTATTCTAGCTACCGGGAATTTCCTGTTTGATCGAAAATTGTCCCCAGAATCAGTTGCCGACACTCACCTGTTCCTGATTTCAGTGACCGAGTAGCTGCTCAGGAGCGCCGCAAGATGGTAGCAGTTGTGAGTGTGTTCGCCGCCGCCATGTTTCTCACAGCGGTGCTCCTTATTGTCATCAGCTTGCACATGTCACAGAGTTCGAACCCTAAAGGTGAGTCGAATCCAGTAGAGCCATACTAATATTATTTCTTTATTTTTGGTTTCGTTTAGGCAGATCCATGCAAACTAAGTATTTTTATAAACTTTCCATCTCATGAAATGTAGGCCTATATCATATGTACCTTTCTACATGTGTAAATTCATGGACGTGCACGATTAATTGAGGTTAACAAAATACAGACTGATAAACTTATGTTATGTTACGTTATGTATTTTGTACAAAGTAATTATGACTGCTGACTGGAAAGCACGTTTGAAATGTAAAAGAATTACTACTACTACTACTACGTGATGTAGGGGTCTAGCTAAAGTTGTGTTCCATTGGCAGGAACTTGGATACACGTCACTGGAAAGCAAAATATGGCGTTCCCAAGAATATGTTACGTTTATATTATATGCGTCTTAATTACCGAGTTGGTTCGCTTCGTAGTTATTTCTCTTGTATTCAGGCCGGAGACCCATTCTTGCGGAAAGAGTCTGTTATCAGACGGAGAGTAATTTCCTAATCATTCTGGTAATGTTCATGTCCGTACTGTCCTTACTCAGCATGTCGGGCAATGGCCTCAGCTCTGCCCTCTACTTGACAACGCAATTTTATGATCCCTGGCACGACCATCATGTAATGTAGCAAGCCCCATATCGGGCGGATGAACGTGACGCTGTTGTCAGCTCTTGATTTGAACTCCAATCGCGGAAGTGTGCAGTCGCCAGCCTGCAGCGGTCAGTAGACAGGCGGCAGAATGGATCATAGGGTGACTGGCAAAACAGAATACTTGGCAACACGTCTGTCGCCCAGCCCTCTTTCGACGCGTTGATCCGAGGGATTATTAAATCGCAACGCAGGGGCCCCCAAAATATGGTCTGCAAGAAAGATGCGGCCCACGGCACCTCTTCATGTGGTCGCTTTAACGCATCAGTAAGTGACTTAGCAACCAGGGCTGTTCCCATGGCACGGCAAATATGTTGGGTGGGGACGCCCAAGGACCCGCAATTCGTAATTGGATATGTGTTAATTTCGTTGGTCTGTATTTATTCAATTTCACTTTGTTGAGCAGTAAGAGAATATTAGGTAGGAATGTGGTGTGAAGAATAGTCACTAGGAGCAGGTGGCTAAGACAACTCAGTTTTTTAGTGGAATAGCGGTCTGTTACTTCAGAGGTGTGCGACTATGCGTAAAATCGACACACAGTTATTATAGTTTTTATTATGCATAGTAGCTTTAGGAATTTGGCACAATAAAAGAACACTTCTCAAAACAGTATGGAAAAAAATCTAAAGTTTTATAAAACACTGGCTGTCCCCGTTTTGCTGTACGATGCAGAAAATTGGACATTGACAAACACTCAAATTGAAAGGATCGAAGTTATCGAAGTTATTAAGACCATTAGCAGGCTATATATTAAAGAACCAGAAACATAATAGCGATTTACTCTCCGAACTTAGAGTACAAAGTATCATGGAAATAGTAGAAACTTTTAGAACAAATTTGCATGACCACTTATCACGCATGGAATCGTTGCAATTATATCATCACATGCCTACGGGCAGAAGAAATGTTGGACGACCGAGAAAGTGACTGAAGGACAGTTTTAGGAGAATCCTGGAGGCGGAACAGATGGCCCAACCCATAAAGTTATTGATGCCTATGATGATTATATTCACTATGCGTCACGTAGGTTATGGACGGGGAAATCGATTATAAATTCTCTGACAGATTAGCATCGCTAAGTGTTGTAACACAACTTAAAGATTTTTTTTCAGAACAGGTGCAAGCTCGACATTGTTTCGAAATTTGAGTTGTATTTTTCAAGCATTGGTTAGCCCATATGAACGATACTGCAGCACACGTCGAGGTTTTACCGATGAGCAGTGAAGACGTGTTTGATTATAGTGTGCTTTTGGACAGAACTGCAAGATTTCGTCAAGACCGATATTCCGTATAAATTTTATAGTATCTGTTCTTTGATGTATTACTCAAAGTATAAGTAGTGAGAACGTTTTTCCACTGTTAGTTGCTTGGGTTGTCCGTAATTAAACAAAACTGGCCGAAATTAAACAAAAACACGTTGTATTTATGAAAAGGAAATGGAAAGTGGACAATGAACGTAGAACTTTTCAGAAGAAGTAGAACGATTAGTATATTTGTGTTTATATGAGTGGGAAAGCAGTATTCTTAATTTACAGTGCTACAGAACGGCACAGTTATTTCTATAGAACCAGTTTTATATCTAAATCCTTAAGACTTACAAACAAATATGGGAAGCCCGATTTGTACTTGTGAGTAATAATCACGCATTTATTCATATTGATTTTTACTTAGGTCTACTGTGTGCACCGGTGTTTTTAAGTTTAAGCTCAATTTGATTTTATGCGCTTTTCCTGTTAAATTGTTTTAATTCTTACGCAGAATTCTTAACCCATAAAGGCATGTACGTGAAGAGTTACGCGACAGTAGTCTATGGAATTAGGTTATGCATTTGTGGTTCATTGTTCTTTTCTGACAGCGCACTACGTTCTTCTGTATTATAAGGTGTTTGTGTTTTGTTTTATGGTTTCCATGTTTTGTAGCATCATTGCCTCTCTAGTTCTTCGTTCAAAGTATATTAATTCTCCTCAGAGAGATGAAAGCGACTATATGGAAAATAATTTATAAAGTTTTTCTATGTTCTCAGGCGTTCCGGAAATTACATTCTGTAGCGATAGGGTCGCAGGGTATCTTATACTTCTACCACAAAATAATGAGCTATATATTTTAGAATTAGTTTGCTTTAAGGATGCATTTTGCTTTCCATAACGATTACTGAGAACCTTATGAACACGTCCGTTGTAACTAAACTTAAAGAAAGCCGTCTTATATCTCGCTTTGTAAAAGAAGTATAGATAATTTAAAGTAAATATATAATTGTACCCATTTAGACAGACTTTTTTGTATTTTTATTGTGAAGCTTGAGGCATTGCATTATTCGTAGAGTTTCCTCATTTATATCAACACTATGATAATAATTTTATTCGTTTAATTAGGCAGGAAATCCGACGAAAAATCCTATGTTTAATATGTGATATGGTCTTAAATAAGCCATTGTGAAGTTGAGACTGGTCAAACACATGCTAAAATTATTAATAAATATTCATTAAACTTTTAAAAATATTGTAGACCTAACCCAAAACATATCAGGTAGTGGTTTGTTACAACGAACTAGTAGCGAGAACGTCAGAATTCAATGTCTGTCCTACCTCGATGCTAACTTTTCCCTTATTATGACTACCCCTGGTGTCCGAATAATTGCGTTATAAATATCAGGCTCTAATTATGGTGCGGAAAAATGCCACTCGCAGAATGTAACTTTGTTAGTTAAAAATTAGTCCTGAAATTTTTGATTCCTTTGGCATGTAGGCAATAGCAAGTGTTAGGTGCAGCTGTGGAAACATTAGATTCATTAATTAACTCAATTGTTATTTAACTTACCACATGTTTGGTATTAGAAACTGATTGTTCAACAACATTACTAAAAACGCTATCCATCAGAATAATTTCCGGACTGAATGAGCTACGTGATGTGCAATAAGAATGGCTCACCGCAGGAATGTTGTGCTTAAATACCCAGAATTCAACATTGATTACATCTTCCACTATGTGACTGGCCTCTGGTTGTTTAATTGTCTAGAAACGCAGTCCCGTGCTTATATTCCATATCGGAAATGAGATTATCTTGCGTTTTCACTGGG